GTTCATCAGGCTTCAGCATATACGTGAGTTGATCATCTGATTCTGACATTCTGATATGGCAACTTCTGATGCTGGTGTCAAGAACCAAATTCTGATGCTGATTAGATGTGATCTTGCTTATATCAATCAGAGTATCTGCAAGTCAGAACATAATAATTTTAGGCAGCAGATAGTTCATACATGAATCTTATAAATAATATATCTTTTCACTTTGTTATCATCAAAACTTAAATATAGGGTAGTAGATTCAAACTTTGTTCTAACACTTCTGTGCTCGCATAATCAGAACTTCTGGTGATGTTCTGGCAGAACTTCTAGTTGCATCAGAACATCTTTTTAACGTCAGAACATCCTGCATGTAAAGATACTTTTTATCAGTGAACATGTTTGTTATTTATATCATGTGTTTGTTATCATCAAAACTCTTGCTGGGATGTAGAACCAAATTATGTTCTAACACAAATCAGTTCAATCAACTTCTTCTAACAATGAGGGATGAGATGCTTGAAGACATATGGGTAATAGCAGAGTTGGAACTCGATGGGGTCATTTCCATATAACATTTTTTCTCTATTTTTCTTTGTACCCTCTTTTCGAAATTTACGACGAATTCCTCTTACTAGGATTTCTGTCTCCTTGTATAAAACTGTGTGTTTATAGGTAAACCTTCTAAATCAATACAATCAATTTCAATTTCAAAATTGTTTTTACTTTCTCTGTTTTGTTTGCAAAAAATTCCAATGACTATATTGAATTAACATATGCATTTGAATATGATTATTGTTTACAAATATATGCATAAAAATAAGATTAGCATTTAATGAAGACCCTAGGAGTCGGGATAATGTTCAAAGTTGACCATAAATTCCTACAGAGAAATTTCCTTAGAGCTATTTTTCCAAGCTAATCCCCGTTGTAGTTTATCTCCTCAGTACAATCTATAGGGTTTATTTCCCCAACGGATTTTATTTCTCCAATATTGCAAATTCCCCGACAAGATTCTCTTCCTCCACCATATATCATTCAATGCTGTACTCCTAAAAGAACTAATACTCATATCTAAAACCTAGTCAAACAGTATGACAAAGGATTATTCATCTCCTTTTATCCCCAGTCAGGGTATATAAGAATCAAATCCTTCAAAGAATGACAAACGACCAATTCTCCTGGAATGCTTCTATCCCCAAGCAAAAGTCAAAGATCCCCAACGGAATGTCCTCAAACAGAAAGCGGAAATCCTCAGTAGATTCATTCTAAAACAAAAATTAAAGAATCAATGTCTTCATCCCCATCAACAATCAGGGATTTATTTTCCCCATCCATACATTATTATACGGAGACTACCGATACACTCTAATAACATATTTCATCCATACATCATTTACAAAATATCATAACATATGCATACGGAACATATATACTATTCTAATTTATTTTGAGAACATCATTACGCAATGCATTACATACATCATGATATTACATAGAACTAACTTTGTCTTTTCAGGTTAAGTTCGCAAACAAATGAATATTATCAGCAATTTAGATATAGATTGTAAATCAATTCCCGAAATAGGATGGGGCGACTATCTACATGACCAAAGCATTCTCCTTCAGAAGTTTATTCTGAAAAGAATTCTCCTTCAGAGATTTATTCAGAAAAGCATCTCCTTCATGGCTTTGTTCTGAAAAGCATTCTCCTTCAGAGGGCTCCATTCTGAAAAGCATTCTCCTTCAGGGCTTTGTTATGAAAAGCATTCTCCTTCAGAGGTTTATTCTGAAAAGCATTCTCCTTCAGAAATCTATTCTGAAAAGCATTCCTCTTCAGAGATTTATTCTGAATATCATATAGTAATGGTAGAAATGTTGAGACTAAGCCATTGGATTGACTTAGCTCGTACAAATCAAATAAAATTGCCATCGTGCTTTAATGTTTCCAAAGGAATGGGAAAAGAGCGAATAAACCAAAAGAGGCGGAGAGAATCTAAGTCCGGGGGATGGTTATGCAAAGGGAAGGTATTAGCACCCTAAACATCTATGGTACTCTGCAGGAACCTCTTTGAAAATCTGTGTATTTTGGCTATAAATGTTGTATGTAAAAATAGATGGTGGAGATAGGAAAAGAAGTATTTTTTATAATTTTGCACCCGCCGCGGTTGCGAACCTTTAGTGCCTATGTACTACCTTCTGTGCAATAGGTGATCAGGGTACTCATAGCTCATATTTGAAAAAATTTAAAACACAAGTGTGTTGGTTAATTTTAAGAGACGAGGCGTCATCGTCTTATCTGAGTGAAAAACATACTTACTACCCACGATTATGAGAAATGATAATTTGCATCATCTCAAAGTGGAGGATATGGATTGTATTTTAAAATCAACAAAGCCTCGCTCAACACCCAAGTGGAAAATATCTCCCTTCACTACATATCATATAAGTATAGTAGCTCACATCACTACAAGAATCGAAAAGAGTCTGATCTTTTGAGAAAATTTTAAAGTAAAAAGCCAAAGTGGCAAAATGGTTTGAGTGAGATGGATTGACTTTTAGTCTTCTCACGAAAAATGTCAAAGTATTATTAAGTTGGTTAAAGTTTGATTAATGAAATATTTTGAAAATGCATGGACCTAAGTCCAAGTTTATTGTGAAAGCGGTTCAAGTTTAAAAAACAAGAAGAGTTTTGAAAAAGGAGGGATAAGATTTTTGAAATTAAAGAAGATGGCAGGAGATGAAGAGGATACTCTAAAACATAAGGTAAAAGCTATGGAATAGAGTCGTCTAACCAATAAAAAGCCAACACTTGACACAATAAGTCAAGATAGAATTCCCATCCTTTGGATTGAAACCAAACAGGCAAAGATGATAAACCTCTTAAGAAAAACGAAGCTTCAAATGCATTAAGTCTTCACAAAAATTGGGCAGAGTAACGGCTGTGTACATATGAATTCCCAATCATAGACAAAGTGTATAATTAAGATAACCTGCACACAAAGAAAACAAACAACCTAATGTCTTGGGTGAACCCCAAGAACGCCATACAAAATAACAATATAAGTCACATGGTCCCAAAGGTGGGCAAGGTCTCTACTATTAAGTTTCGCAAGGTCCACAATCTCCAAAATGCCAAGGATAGTAACCAAATAGTCCAGGTAACGTTAAATCTTTTTAGTTTATGTTGGTTATTAGGTATCTTCAAAAATAAAATAAAAGCTCAAATGAGCAAAGATGAAAATAGCATGAAATGTAAATGCTAAAATAAATGGTGCACAAAAGTAAAGGCATAAAGTAAAAGCATAAATACAAAAGTCAACTGTTAATAAGTTAGAGATTAGAGGTTAGTTGAATGACCATCTTGAAACATGCATTTGAAAACTCGTTAGAAGATTGATAAAATCAAATCCTCTCAACAACACGTTTCAATTTCTTTTTGTCAAGTATATCATTCATTTCAAATTCTCGAGGCGACAATAAATGATCAGCGGTGTTTAAGTGATTCACTTAGACCAAAATTTATGAAGATTATTTAGAGGATTGATAAGACCAAAGCCTCCTAACAATGAATCTCAAGATTATTGGATCAAAGGTTTCAAATTAACATACTTGGCCTTGCAAACATGGGTTTGGGCTACAAATGATCACTTCTCAAATTAGGACCAAATTTAGCACTATGTTAAACAATCATAAGTGGACTTATATAGAAGTCGCACCTATTTTGAGGTCGGTCAATAGCAATCAATGTACCATATGTTTGGAGAAATAATATGTAGATTATTCTCCAACAACGTTGTAGCACAATGCAAGAATAAGAAAAGGGGAAATACGAACAAGAATTAAATTCCACATTTGAACCAAATAATTTAATCAAGCAATTATTAAAATCATTCATTTATTTTTTATGGAGTTAAACTCAATACCATAGATCCAATGATGTTAATAAAACTCATGATTAAAATTTCACATAGTCCAAGATCATCCAAAATATATACAAAAATAAAATTGCATTTAACTATCAAAATAGAATGAGAAAATTGATTTTTTAAATTGTTTTTAAATGCAAATAAAAGGCAAAATAATAAACTATATTCAAAATATCAAAGAAAAATTAAAATACACCATATAAAAGTCAGAAATGATCTCAAATATTTTTACAAAATTTTTGGTAATTTTTGAAAACAAAAAAGTATTTTTAAATTAATTAAAATCAATCAAATGAATGAAAAATGATTAAAAATAGAAAAATTATAAATTAAATTCCAGAAAAAATACACTAAGTCAGAAATGAGGTAAATGAATTTTGTCATATTTTTTAGAATTTTCGGACAGAAATTGGATTTAAAATCTATTTCTAAAGTTTAAAAGGAATTAAAATAAAAATAGTAAAAGAAAATTAAACAAATAAAACCGTGGCTATCAGATCTGAGTCAACAATCTTTGTATGACCAATCAACAACTCTGATTGAAGAGTGTATGGTAAAAAAGAAACAACACACATGGGATAACATTTCTAGACATCTTCCCAGGTGGTGACAAGTGGCTCCGATGACCACTTGTCATCACTTCAGGCGACAATGCGCATCTCAAGGTCAAAGAGAGAGAGAGGCAAAAATGTTTTGAATAAACAAAAATTAATATATCAGATTTTAAGAGAATAACTTGAATTTCTCTCGTACTACCAACGTTATCTTTTCCTCTTCTCAAAGTACCACCACTTTTCCAAGACAGTACATCTTTATTACAACAAGTAATCTTCTCTTGAACAAAATTTATGTGGGCTTTGATTTTGTTGCTTCTGTTTTATTATTTTGGGCTGGAACCTATAATTTTCTGTATTGTGTTGTTTTGCTGCAGTTTATTATGTTGGGCTGTTTACAATTCTGCTTTAGACCTTCTTTTGATTTTGTATTTTTGTGAACCAACTTTGCTTGTGATTTGTAAAAGATATATTTAGGCCTATGATAAAATTGAAATCTAATTTTCTATGAAACAAATGTATGAGGCTTTGAATGTTTTCTACTACAATTTACTGGTTGGGCTGTTGTGATTCTGACTTTGCTTTTACTTGCGATACCATGATAATTGTTTCTGAACTTGTAGAAAATTTCCTTTTCAACCTCTATTGTGAACCAAAGCTTGGATTTGTGATTTATAATAGAGGTCACGGGCCAATGATAGGACCACAATTCTGATTATTTGTCAAGAAAAAAAATGAGGACTTCTTGTTGATTTTATGAACATGATTGGATAACCCTTGATTCTGATTCCCTTTACGACCCTAATGATGAATTTGAAAAGAAACCTCTTTCTTTATGTTCAAGTGTTTACATTCTTGATGGTTGCTTACTAACAATTTTGTGTTTACTTTTCCTTGTTTCATGTGATGAATGGTTTGTCAAGAGCATGGATTTCTCTTGAGAAATTTACAAATTCATGAAGATTTTGGAGACCTTGTAAGATGGTGCGAACTCAAGACTTGGAGAAGACAGTGAAACTTGTCATGAAGGAAATGATGATTCCAGAAATCAATCAAGGCTATTATGACTTAGGAAAACTTGTAGAATTGATGTAACTTTGTAGTTATAGAAAAGAAAGACTTGTTCTTGTAGTAATAGACACTTGAATGCCTTATGTAAATTTGAGTCTTTTAGTGTTTGAATTCTTCGTGAATTGTTCTTGAATTATTCTTGGTACCATGAAAGAAGTCTCTTGAAGTTTGTATAGAAACTTGAATGAATCATGTATGGAACTTGAATGAACTTGATTTTTATGCATAACTTTTAATCTTGAATGAGAATGGATATTGAAGCTTGCATGAAGAATTTTGGATTCATGAGAATAATTTTGAAACTAGACATTTGAAAATTTGATAATGTTGCTTGAAGTTGATGACTTGAAATTCTTTTAACTTGTAAATTTCCAAACTCATGAGAGTGAGAATTCCCTCCATATTTTGAATTTTTGGGCTTTTGACATAAAGTCTTTATATTTTAACTAACACAAAATTCAAAATAAATGAATCGTCTATACTCGAAACCGTTAAACTTAGGAATCGGTCTTTGAGAACATCACAAAACAAAATTCCATAAATTCAATGAATAACCCAAATTCCATTTGAAAAAAATTGGCGATACCTCCATCCATAGCAAAAAAAAACCCTAACTTGGCGCCCAAACCTCAAACGCGAGAAATTAAAATCTCAAGAAAGTAGTCATGGAATTAATTGAAATTAGACGTTATGAAAATAACCCGTAATGTTTCAATAAATTTCGTGGCTTTTCAAACACAATCCACTCCCACTCCTTGAAACAAACTTGTAGATAACATCTTGAAGAGTGTCTTTCCAAAATAATCATCCCAACATATTTAGATTTGAAAGAGTTATGATCCTTGAAAGTTGGACGAATGTCACTTGAGAATAGGTCAAAGTCTTCAAAACGACCTTTAATGTACTCAAACTTTTGATGGCCTTCTATACATGATTATCTCTCGACTTGTAAAGAGAAATTGGAGATGACGTCAAAGAGATTCATATGCTCGAAGTATCAACCAAGAATAATGAATAATGAAGAAGTTATGATTATTTGAACTCAAACTTGTAAACATTGACTTTCAGTCAACCAACTTTGAATTAACTGTAGACTTTGTCTTTCCTCTCAACCCAAAACACTCTTAAGCATATATGAACCTGAGATAATGAGATCTTGATCAAACCATGTTCACACTTGTCAGAATTTGAGATTACTCGTCGAAGAAGGCACGGAAATAAACACATGAACCTATCTCGAAGAGTCTTGAGAATTGAGCCACCAAACTCACCTTAACTATGCTGAATGAAGCTTGAGGATAAATTGATCTAAGATTATAGATCACTATTATGAAACATAGTCTTTTGGGAACCATCTTTGTCCTGAACAAACCATAACCCTAATCGGAGAACCATCACCTGAATTTCTTGATCGAAAACCCTGTCTTACAAGAAACAAAATAAACAAAACATTTTTTTTGAATTTTGGTTATAGGTCAGTAGAATATAAAACACATATATATAAGATACACGATCAAAGGTTCTTGGTGATATCTGAAGATCAAACTTAAAGATAAGACACAGTAGAAGAAGTACCCAAACCCTAATGCATGATCTCGTTGCATTGTGATGATATGAGATGATAGAGGAATCTTAGGGGGAAAAATTAGGGTACAACTCATATCTTTCAGGGCTTTGTTCTGAAAAGCATTCTCCTTCAAAGGGCTTCATTCTGAAAAGCATTCTCCTTTAGGGCTTTGTTCTAAAAAGCATTCTCCATCAGAGGTTTATTCTGAAAAGCATTCTTCTTCAGAAGTTTATTATGAAAATCATTATCCTTCAAGGCTTCGTTCTGAAAAGAATTCCCCTTAAGAATTTATTCTGAAATGCATCCCCCCTCAGAGACTGATTTCTAGCGAGCATTCCCTTCAGAAGTTTATTTTGAAAAGTATTCCCCCCAGAGACTGAATTCTGGCGAGCATTCCCTTCAGAAGTTTATTCTAAAAAGTGTTTCCCCTAGAGACTAAAATCTGGCGAGCATTTCCTTCAGAAGTTTATTCTGAAAAACATTCCCCCCAGAGACTGAATTTTGGAAAGCATTTCCTTCAGAGGTTTATCCTAAAAAGCATCTCCCTTCAGAGACTGAATTCTGAAAAGCATCTCCTTCAAGGCTTCGTTCTGAAAAGCATTCTCCTTCAGAGGTTCATTCTGAAAAGCATTCCCCTTCAGAGACTGAATTCTGAAAAGCATCTCCTTCAGGGCTTCGTTCTGAAAAGCATTTTCCTTCAGAGATTTTCTGAAAATCATTCTTCAGATACAGTCATACGTAGACTCATTCTGATACTCCTATCAACAGTTACTTTGGATGGCATTTGTAAGCCCATCTCCAGCGACACTCTATCACCTCTCTGAATGGCATCTTTAATCCCATTCAAGTAGTATAATCAACCAACAGTGTCACTTTATGCACATGTGAGTGCATATTTCTGGGCACTTAAGTGTTCAATCCTCTTCCACCTTCAGATCCTAAATGGCGAGCGTGTCAATCAAACTTTATTAATAGAATGGTAGTCTGTGAATGGCGAGACTCCATATATGATTAAAAAGTTTGGAAAATGGTAACATATATTGGAAAAGATACATTGAAATATAATGACCACTATTCTCCCTAACAATTTGAATTCTTGAGCAGCGACTTCTGTTGAAGTATGGTGAGAGTCCAAGAAGATTGTTGGTTCAATGATAAAGTCTTGTCTGACGCAGTTACTTTCCAAGAAATCCATAACTTTGCCTAAGTTGCCCTAACGGGTTTTCAACATACCGGGAAAATTTATTTTGTTTATGTCTCTAATTTTTGCCTAGACCTCCCTTTCGGGTTTTCGGCCTACCGAGACGCTCCTTTTTTCCTAAGCCGCCATTTTGGGTTTTCGTCTTAGCGAGCTATTCTTTTATATATTTAGGTAAAGTATTTCTTGACTGCATTAGCATTCAGAGGACTTGGGAACTCCTCGCTATCTATAGTTTCAAGAATCAATGCACCGCCAGAGAAGGCTTTATTAACAACATATGGGCCTTCAAAATTGGGAGTCCACTTGCCCTTGGAATCGGCATTAAAAGACCTGATATTCCTGAGTACGAGGTCGCCTTCTCTGAATTCACGAGGCTTGACCTTCTTATCAAAAGCTTTCTTCATTCTCTTCTGGTATAACCGATCGTGACACAAAGCCTTCATTCTTTTTTCTTCAATCAAATTCAATTGGTCAAACTTGTTCTGGACCCATTCAGCCTCTGACAACTGGGTTTCCATCATCACACGTAAAGAGGGAATATCAACTTCAACGTGGAGAACTGCTTCCATGCCATACACAAGAGAGAACGGGGTTGCCCCTGTTGAAGTGCGGACAGATGTTCGATACCCATGAAAAGCAAAAGGGAGCATCTCATACCAATCTTTATAGGTAACCATCATTTTCTGTATGATCTTCTTGATGTTTTTATTAGTAGCTTCGACAACCCCATTCATCTTTGGCCTGTAAGGAGATGAATTATGATGGACAATCTTGAATTCTTTGCAAAGTTCCGTCATCATCTTGTTATTCAGATTCGAGCTGTTGTCGGTGATAATCCTGCTTGGCACACCACACCGACATATAAGATTGTTCTTGATAAAGCGTACTACCACCTGCTTAGTAACATTAACATAGGAAGCTGCTTCCACCCATTTGGTGAAGTAGTCAATTGCCACCAAGATAAAATGATGTCCATTCGACACTTTGGGTTCAATCATTCCAATCATGTCAATACCCCCACATAGAGAAAGGCCATGGGGAAGAAATAACATTGAGAAGCGTTGGAGGCACATGAATTTTGTCAGCATAAATCTTGCATTTATGGAACTTCTTTGCAAATTTGTAACAGTCAGATTCCATTGTCAGCCAATAATAACCTGCCCTAAGAATCTTCTTTGCCATCAAATGTCCATTGGCATGGGCACCAAAGGAACCTTCATGGATTTCATGCATCAACATGTCTGCTCTGTGTCTATCCACGCATCTGAGCAAGACCATGTCATAATTTCTTTTGTATAACACATCTTCATTGAGGAAAAAGATACCTGCCAACCTTTTGAATGTTTTTCTATCTTTGTTTGATGCACCATCCTGGTATTCCTGAGTTTGAAGAAAATGTTTGATATCATAATACCAAGGTCTTTCATCTGACATTTCCTCTTCTGCAAACACATGAGCTAGCCTATCCAGATGTCACACTGTGATACGAGGCACATCATTCCAATTATTTACTTTATACATAGAAGCCAGAGTAGCCAAAGCATTCGCCATCTGATTTTCATCTCTGGGAATATGATGGAATTCAACTTTATTAAGGGTAATAATATTCTAGCATAGTCTTTGTAAGGAATCAAGCCAGGGTGACGAGTATCCCATTCTCCTTTAATCTGATTTACTACCAAAGTTGAGTCACCATATACATCTAGAACTTTGATTCTAAGATTAATGGCCTCCTCGAGACTCGTGATACAAGCCTCATACTCTGCCATATTATTGGTACAATCAAATGTCAGCCTTGCAGTAAAAGGGATATGTGATCCATGAGGAGTGATGATCACATCACCAATTCCTTTCTCGTAAGCATTCACAATTACGT